TCGACACATATTATGTTTAACTATAAATAACTTCGTAGTTAAACATTTATAGTTATATTCACAGTTCATAATAAATAATTTCGCAGAACCCTGGTGAATTTTGCCTGAACTCACTTTAGGAATCGATGGTATAAACACTAGGTAATATCACAGATTGTTTTATTAATGCAAACCATTAAACCAGACTGTCATTTGTAAACCCATTTTTTTATTACAATTAACTTCTAATCTTATTTTATAAATTTGTACATTCTAATATATTCTCCTGTTTTTTCATGACCGACACGTGGAGAAACATTCATAAAAATTTGTTTCAGATGCCGAACTTTTTGCCATCTAAAAGGAATTTACTAAATTCACTTCAGCTTTAAAACTAGGATAAATATATATCTTGACATAGTCGAATAAACGACAAAAATGATCCTAAGTGTTTACCTTTAGAGATAATATGCGTTTATAACTCAACTCGCTACTAAGGAAAAAAGTATTCGATACCTCGGATAATTATTAATGGTTAACAATATTCATAAGGAGTCAGCAAACCGGTTATGTAGTCACCTGTTTTGTAATATCTTGTAAGCGAACGGGTGTTCCCTGCTCAGATTGGAATCTACATACATATATATATACTACTCGTAATATGATAAAGCTCAAGATTTTATTTGCTTGGTTGAACACGCTCACTTCAGGAACTACCATATATATATATATATATAAATATATCACTAATATAGTGTGTGTGTAACAATAATAGTTTAGTTTTAAAAGAAGATAAACTTAATCTAAATTTATCGATATCCTTATTTTTTATCTATCTATCTAATACCTTTAAACGAGCAATTCTTGTATGTATATAATCCGAATCTCCGAAACGGCTCCAACGATTTTCATGAAATTTACTATGCAGCGGGTTTCGGGGGCGATTAATCGATCTAGCTGAATTTCATTTTTAGAAAATTTACCAAAAAAATAAAATACGGAGCGGAGCATACAGGAGTCATTCAGGTTCTTATATATACAGCATTATATTTAGCTTGGAGCCTATTTCAAGGAAAGAAACAGCCTAGGTTAGTTTTAGATCGCTTAGGTGTGAACAAGGAGTGTTTAGATCGTCCTGGAAGTTTATGGGTGATAATAATGTTGAGTTTTTGTAGCAGATTAGGACAAATGATATTACCATTGACTAACTTGTGTAAGTTAGATGTACTTATATAAAAATCTGTAAGATAGATCTTAATTTTACGGCGCTTTTTTTAATGATGTTATGTTGAAATGAGTTAGTCTAAGACTAAAACTGTACTACTGTACTTCCCAAAATGTTTATCATAACTTTATTAAACACTAACTAATTTAACAATAAACTAAAAGCAATCTAGTCAAAGTTACCTAGACAAAAAAACTGCTCGAAACTCCGATAGACCTTTTTTTGGTGACGGGGTGACAAACTCTACCTTTCTCTGGCTCCTTGGGGACGCAGGAGCCAATAGTATGTAGTGCTTACAATAAAAACTACCCCGACGGCCGGCCTATGTCGGTTCCCCCGGATCGGCGCCGCACCTAACTAAGCCCTATCCCGAGGGAAGCCGGGATCGCCCCAACACTAAATATTCGACTTATGAATTAAACCAAGATTAAATCCTGCTTTATATGTAACTAACTTTTGCCCGCGGCTCCGCCTGTCAGTCCGTATGTCAGTTATCGCGGTAAACATTTGAACAGTAGTTTCTGACCCTATTCATTACAAATCTTTCCTCTTTATAAAATTAGTATAGAAGTATGGATGTAATATTGTACTTAAATCCTTATCTAATTTTGTGATGCGAGAATGATATAAACTAAGAATGTTTCGTAGATGTAGATTTAATAATTGGAACATGATGCTTATATGACGTAATGCCCACATACCAAAACCTGTTTCTATTGATTAGAATAAAAAAAATAATGTATTACAACTTCACGTATAATTTATTAAATAAAATGTTTGGAAAAAATCCTGTGTTACATCTAATAATAAAAATATTTGAACCAAGCCCGTTTGGAAGTCTTGTTTTATTTCCTTATCCAGTGTAAATTGAACTATCGTTGTATAGATTTTCGTAACATGGCAGGAACCAAAATATACTAAACTCTTATAGTTTCATGTAGGTATTTTGACTTAATATTTAACTTTAAAGCATATATTGTTTGAAAATATTAATTTTCTATACTTGTCTTCTTCGTGGGTGTCAAACTACGCAGAACAACAGCACTGCTAAGAGAAGGAAAACTTGAAGCAAACCAACCCGTTTGGCCAGCGTGGTATAGTAGGCCAAAACCTCCTTTCTAAGGAGAGGCCTATGTCCAGCAGTTGACTATTAGAAGCTGTTGATGATATTTTACCACTTCTACGTGTAAACTTTGAGTCTTCTAAGTATGATATAAAGAATTTTCTTTACTGATTCCTATTTACTCGTAAATACTAATTAATCTTTCAAGAAGATCTTTTTATGACGTCCTATTTTCGTATAACATTTTGCTTGTGTTTATTTTACTAAACAAATATTAAACAAATATAACTAGTTGGGTAATACTATCTGATTATCATATGATCTTGGGGTTTCTAATGAGGAATTATATGCTATGTAAATCTAAATATTTTTCCTCTTATATTTAATTTCGAAGCTCGTCGTTTACTTCCTTTTAAAAAAAAAGATAAAACATTGAATAAACAAGAATTTAATTATAAAACGAAAAGCAAAATATTTTACTACTTTAACAACTGAGTAGAATTAATGTCTAATGTTTTTTCATGATTACGTGGGAATCCTTAAATGGGTTTAGGCCATAGCTATCAAGAAATATAATCCAAACTTATTATGTGAAAGTGAGTTTGTTTATTTTTTAACGCTTTCTCGCCTAAACCAACAAACCGATTTATAAAAATTCTTTCACCAATGGAAAGCTACATTATCAGCGAGTAACATAGGCTACTTTTTAGCGCGATAACTGACATACACGCGGGCAAAATCTCGTAATATACATATATTTCGAGTACTATAATACTTTAATAAATAAATATGGCTATACCGTTATATTCTTAGATGTTATATTTTTATCCGTCATGGTATCTAAGTCTAAACAATGGCGAATTATACCGCCCAAAGAAATAGACAAAAAGATACGTGGTTGAAGTTAGACCACACGGGCGAGCTTTAGTGCGTTCATATTATTATTTGAATACGAAATCTAAAAAAATTAGCTTTAAGACATATTTAAAGCGTCTGTGAATATCAAAAGTCGAGTATTACAAATTTGTTGTGCGAAACAATTATCAAAAGATATAGAAAATGTCGCTGTTAAATAAAACTTTAGTAATATTACCTACTTGGTAAATATACGAGTATTTACCTTATAAATAATAAAGATAGTGTTAAAAGAACATAATTATGTCAAGGAGCATGTGTAATGACCAGACATACATATTTACAACTATTTACAAGTAGTAGGCGAAACGAAGGCGATCCTAGACTATACAAATAAGTCTTCATTTTCCTTCTTGAACGAGTGCGCTAAGAAGAGATGTTTGGTTACTTGGCGCACGTGAATCAGGGTCAATAAACTTGCCACCGGTAAGTGGTAATCCGAGGGGATTTCCGCACAGAAAAAAAAAGGGCAATGAACTTAAGAAAGTAACATAAATAATAACAAACTCCTTTTCAATTTAACGAGACTTTAAAAGTGATAAAAATCCAAAAAAATCAATTGTTTTTTGTTTAAATCTAGCTGCCAAAATCTAACACTACCCTACATGATCTTAGGAGAAAATTCGTGTACCGTGTACCAATTATTGGCCATAAAACAAAAGGAATAAAGTTTAAAACGATATCAATGAAATAAATGCCGTCATATACAAAAATTAAACAGAAATATAAAATATTATGGTATTCTATTTATATAAGAGTTTACAACTTCAAAAAACCTTGAGAAGGTATTTGTGTTTTATTAGTTCCTGGGGGTCATGGTACTGGCAGTTCAATACTCGCGCACATGAAGCGAAGATAGAAATATATTAAAGGGTTGAGCTGAGCTGAGGCTAAAGTACCTCGAGGGTTGAATAAGATTAGGATTAGAATAGACAACATATAAATAATATAATCTACTAGTTGGCATTTAAAATTCGATATTTCTTTTCATTTTTTAGCACTTTTTTATTAGCTTTACTTGTTGCTAACTCAATATATAAAGATATAGGTATATCAAATTCTAAACTTTGTATCAATACGACACCTTATACATATATGATTTAGGTGACAAATATTTATATTTTATTTTTTACGGAAGAGGGGGCAAACAAGCAGACGGGTCATGAACGCCTGCAACTCAGGTGTCACAAGCTCGTTGCGACCTTTTAGGAAGGAGTGCGCTCTTTTCTTGACGGTTTGATGATCGTATTTGTCCGGAAATACCGCAGACGATAACTTTCACATCTTTGCATCTTAGAGATGAGCTGGATACTGGAACTCTTCAGTTTCTCTTATCCTTTTATGATATAACTTTTTTTTTGTTTTAATAATTACATTTTTTATTGATAACACTATTGCCAAATTAGGTGTAACTAAACAATCAATAACAAACTCAGAAGAAATATGAACTTTTAAACTTTCGCGTTCCATGATAATTAATATTATTTAACGGGAATTAACGCGATCTCTTATTTAGGGTATTACATACCTCTGGTTTGCCTGACGTTTCGACCAGGTTGCACCGGCCGTGGTCACAGGCTCACTCTGTGTAAATAATATTAATTGAAATATGAACTATTTAGATTTTACCTATTTTATTCTTACGTTCAGTATTATTTAATTTTAGCATTCCAAAAAATGAATTTCAATGTTTAGATATATAGCTATTTTTTTGGATTGTAATAAGAGTTCATCAGATAGCTTTCCAAAAACAAGTGAGAACCGAGCTGAGAAGAAACTAGAATATGAGGATCGTCAATGACTGTATTCTTTTTACAGAGCAAGGACCATGCACAACAGCAAGCGGTGGCCAGGGAGAATGCAAGTCGATATACAACTGTCCGTCGTTACTAGCAGTAGTGAACAAACCAAACAGGACGCCACAAGACATGGATCTGCTGAAAAGGTCACATTGCGGGTTTGATGGACAAGCACCTGCTGTAAGTATAGTTTTTAAAATGTAATTGGAGACAACCGAACACACGGGTCTTACCGTCGCCCATAGATACCCACAGTCCTTTGCCCCCACTGAGACGAGACGTATAATTTTCTAATATCAAATTTTACTATATTGAAGGTAGAAGCTATGGAAAAGGAAAACCTTTATTTTTTTGTTTCCAATCCATTAAAATCAACTATTGTTATGATTAATTAAGTATTATAAATGGTAATTTTATATCTTCTTAAAAAAATAATGTCAATAATTTATCGATCATTGGTCAGTGTTCACTTTTATATCCTATTGTTAAATCAACAAAAACAACCACTCAAAGGTTATAAAAATGACAATGACTTAAAAACAAAGAAGATTACATATGAAACAATACAAAATTTACAAATACAAATGTTCTAACTACTCCACTTACTCGAATTTTACTAAAGAAAAGAGGTAAAATACAAGAGATATTTGTGTCAAGCTGCAAATTACTTTAAAGGCAGACAGATGCTGACGTGTAGACCCACATTACTCACCAACCTGATGTTGACGTCTAGCAGATTAATTAGACTTAACCGCAATTAGTAAAACTGCCTTGCGGTTAAGAGAATACAGTATAAATTCCTTAAACAATAAGGTAAACCTCAATCACATTGCCAAGAATGGGATGTATTGAGTATTGTATGTTATTCTCATTGTCTACTTTTATGAGTACTTTTATTACTACTACATTGTATTATTAATTCTATCAGAAAATCATTGATTTATTAATATGGTTGATATCTTAATCCATTTATATAAGCAAAGTTGTTCATTTTATAAATGGAAAATAGTTTTTTTTTTTTTTTTTTTGTGCTATATCCGACGCAATGTAACAATTGTTTGTGATAAATAAAGAAGAAAGACGGCGATAACTTTTTTTCTAATTTTCATGAATGATTTTAATGAAGCAATCCTATAATTTCCTATATAAAAAATTTTTGATTCAAAAAACTCCGTTTAGTAGCTTCGAAAACATAAACTAAGAAACAAATAAGATACTTAAGAGAGAGATAGATTGTTTCTATCTGTTTGTCCCAAAAAGTCAATTGTACCAAAAATGGCTGATTTGTGGTATTATTATTTACTATGACTTCTATAGTGAGCCCCCGTTTTTTTTTACTATTTTTCTCTCAATGTATATACACCCGGTCTCTTTTGTTTTATTATCTATATATATATAAGAGATTGCCACGTATATAGTCACTTATCACGATATCTCTGGAACCATTAGAGCTAAAGACTTGAAATTTGGTAGTAATATTCTTTTCACCGAGTAGAGGTCAGCTAAGAACGGATTTTAAGAAATTAAAAATAATAATAATTAAATAATGTAAATAGTAAAACAACGTTTGCAGGGTCAGCTAGTTATATATATACGAGTAGAAATTAGTTTAAGTCTAATACATCTGAGTACTTACTCATTTATTGCTATTTAGTACTACTTTCAATACATTCCAGGTGTGCTGTCCTGGAGATAATGAACCACCGAAGCCAAGCAATCAATGCTTTACACCCGAAGGCAAGCCTGGGCAGTGCGTCACTCTGTATTCCTGTCCAGACATCGCAAACTTGCTGAAACCTCCCGTCCCCAATGATAAAATCATATTTGTGCAGCAATCCAAGTAAGAAAATTTACTTCTTTTAATAATATAATTTTTATTAGGGTAACCATGACTTTGATTATTAGTAATACATAAAACTTATCCAATGTTACTAGAAACGTAACGTATTAAATACATATAAAAATGTTTTGAACAATAGTACTAGCAATAAATTCGCTACCGGAGTGTGGCGTACCTGTCATATAATTTTTTAGCATCAAATTCTGTACTTCAAATTGGTACCCATTTAGTTATAATTAATTTCATCATCATCTCCTCCGAAAAATGTCCGCTGCTGGACATAGGACTTATGGTGCAGAGACGTGATCGCTCATGGGCTTCATAAGAAGATTCAAAGTTACTCAAAGAGCAATGGAGAGGGCGATGCTCGGAGTTTCTCAGGAATAATTCACATCATCCATTAAAATCTGAACATACTCATAACAGTGTGCGTAATGCTTATAATGTCATGCAACATATCCGGCCTTGACCGGAATGACACCACAGCCTCACAGAAAACCGGTCATTCCGTTACTGAGTGAAATTACTAAAGGCCCAAGTCCTTCTTAACTTTGGTGGTTAAAGGGCGACAACGTGTTTGTGTCTCATGAGTTGTAGATGTCCAGGGATGATGATAGTTATTAACCAACAGGTAACCCACTATATATAATAAAAAAAAAAATACGGAATATAGGGTACTCTATTTAAATAATAAAGTTGTGTAGATTTTAAACAGAGGTGGATTACCTCTGTTTAAAATCTCTTATTAGATGCGAATGATTATGAAGTATAAATGTATAAAAATCGATTTCGATCTTATAATGATAAGACGATTATTGTTAATGATAAGTTTACCTATTATTTTCGCAAGACTAACAATAATTCTTTGTTCAACTTACTTGAAAATAAACTAAATAAATTTAAGTTAATTTAATAGCTTTGAATGTTATATGACAAAACTGACACGAACAAGAAAAACTTGTTTTGACAGGAACGTCAGATGTGCAAAAAGTATTGAGGAAAACGCTACTAACGCTTTATTTTACTGAGTATTATTTTTTAAAGAGCATTTTAAACCTACTAAACATACACGCTCAGATATTTGATACTAAAAAACACACCTATTTCAATTACTACATATAATATATCTGCTTACACATTTGAATGCCACAGATTCAAACACAAACTTTTAGTTTTTGTTCTTTTTAGTTAACACAAACTTTATTAAAGTGAAAACTCCTTTAGCCGCGTTGCATTTTGGCATTTTTAATGGCATTTTTAAACAACAAACAAAAGAATGTATTTTTTGAGATGGGAAAAAACCATTGACAACTCTGTTGACACCTACATATACGAGTATTGGCAACGTTTACATGAGAGTTGAGTTTGGTTTGAAATACATTGACAATATAAGTACATATATATAGTATAAACATATGTTATGTATTTACGTACAACATAGATATTCACGTCGGAACATTTCAAGTTTTCACTTCTGTCGGCACTCCCGGAGTGCCGTTTTTTTATGTAGAAAATATTTTTTTGTAAAGAGCGCGGAACATTTTTTATGAAACAGCAAGTGAGCAGACGGGTCACCTGATGGTAAGTGACCACCGCCGCTAATGGACACCTGCAATCAAGTCACTCAGCATCCTCATTCATGCAGTCCTTCCTTTCATTGCATTGGTTTTGGGTTTCTTCCTTTGTCGCTGACCTCCAATAAATGTTCAATTTTGCACATTACCAAAGTACCAAATAAAATTGGCAAAGGAGCAGGAAAATGATGAAGAGTTATCGGTCCTCAAAACTCTCAAACACTGTAAACGAGATACTATTTTAAGCTATAATATTTATATTTTCAGATGTAATGGTCCAGACCAATACAGCGTGTGCTGTGGCCCCGTACCTGATTTCCAAAATGTCCAAAAAGGAAATTGTGCATCTAAAGTTACCGCATTTCCACCAGATCCAAGAACTGAATGTTGTGGGCTCGATGGCAGTACTAAGAACAAAATTGTCGGTTAGTATAATGCATAATATATAGTAGGCCAAAACCTCCTTTCTGAGGAGAGGCCAATGTCCAGCAGTGGACTGTTAAAGGCTGTTGATGTGAGAATGCTTAAATAGGAATCATATATTTTTAAATAAAAACAAACACTTCATGGACCCTAATAAAGTACGGGTTTTAACTATAAGTTGCCAGACTACAATAGAAGGTAAATAATACCACTAAATATCGAAAATTATACAAATAACAATAAAAGAGACATATGTGATGTAGAAAATTTTGTAAGCGAATTCGAAAGCGGGTTCGCAAATTCAAACCTTCCTAGTAATATTTATCCTAAATTTGATAGATGGTGCCACCTACGCCTATAAAAAAACATTTTTCAACTGATTGCATATCGAATATATGCACTACTACTAACAACACTGGACAGACTAAGTCGACGCTCGCTCGTTCGACAACGTTTATTATTTTTTTATGTTTAACATTCTTCGTTATAAATTCTACTGAAACTTGAAAAAAAAGCAATTTTTTAGGTACGCTGAATATACTTTACCCTTTAAACTGACAAACTTTAAACAAACTCAAAAATAAACATTTTAATACTCCAAATCGTGCTCCAAATTTTTCCATCTGGAAACGTTTTTGTTTTTTAAAGAGTGTCTTTTATGAAAGCGAAGGCTTCGCGTACGTTGGCTGTAATTATTAAACTGAAAACATCGCGACGACGCAACGCGGTAAGAAAATTGCTCCTCATACTAAATTATTAACGTAAATTTAATTCAAATCGGTTTCTAAACATGCTCCTTTCATCAAAACAGCTTCTTGGAATTAACGATCACGGGCCTTCAACGCTTTCATTATTCAAAAAAAATACGCACGTACTGTCTCCGTAACAACACCGAATTTTACTAGTTTTCCACGCTTGCTATTTCTGGTTGTGTATGTTAAACGAACTCATATCGATCCGGAAAAACTAATTACCAGATTACTAACACGCTCGAAATTTATCATTTATGAATGAAATGCATGTTTCTTAAAATTCCGCGTATTTGAAATAACAAGGATTCAAAATGTAGCTAAAAGTGTCTTCATATTTTGAAGAACAATAAGGGAACCCTAGCTCTAGCTTGTTAAAAAAAATAGGCAATGACCAAGTATTCTAGTAATTACATACTTAAAGTTTTCTATTAGAATGAATCATTCGAAGAAAATGGATAACATGGGTTGGTTTACTATAATTCAATAAAAAGTTTACAGTTAATAGTGTAGAACATATACCTCAATATTATTGTAGATGTGTATACCTTTTTTGTGCTTCTAAAAATACTAGACAGTAAAATAATAATATATCGCTTTAATGTACACCAGACATAAATATACAATAATTAACTTAAATTAGGTTAGATAAGTACACATGGCGGCCTTATCGCTCAGAGGCAATCTTTCTCAAATACTGAGAATTAATGAATTATGGTAGCAGTTTACAAATCCTAAAACACAAAACACAAAACACAAAACACACAAACACAGAACATTGCAAATCTTTAAGAAAAGAGCGTACTCCTTCCTCAAAAGCCGGCAACGCGACTGTGACTCCTGAGTTACAGGCGTTCATGGGCGGCGGCAGTCGCTTTCCATCAGGTGACCCGTCTGCTCGTTTGACCCCTCTTCCATAAAAATTAAATAAAAATACGCATGTAAAAAACACAACTATACACAACCCCATATATATACATGTTTTCATAATACACCAACGCATGTATGCACTTACACAGATAAAACTGCAATTCAGGAAAACTGTGTTGTATTCAAACATAAGCGAAGAATGCACTAATATTATGGAATGTATTAATACTTGTTAATCGAATTTTGTTATGTTTTACAACTACTTTTAAAGCAGCTTAATTTTCACAATTGTGTATGACTGCAGGTGGGTCACCAGCGACAGTTGACGCGTATCCATGGTTGGTGTTAATCGAATACGTCAAGGACGGTGTCGTTAAAACACTTTGTGGTGGAGCTCTCATCAGTGGCAAATACGTCCTGACTGCAGGACATTGTGTTGCTGGACCAGTACTCACTCGGGGTACACCGTGAGTACTATAATTAGCTTATTATGTAGTCAGTCTACATATACAGGCCTTATTCCCGTAAGGAGTAGGCAGAAACGATAGTACACTATTTGCCGCGTTCCGGCCACACAGCTTGCAGCTCTTCTACAGTCATTAGGCCTTTCATATACGCTGGCTGGTTACGGGTGCTTTAAACGAGGCTGTGCCGGCATCGACACTCACAGAGACTTTATTATTAATTTCGTTCATTCATTCATTTAACTCAATCTTTACTTACGTTATTAAGTACCATATACCACTGTGAAGAATAATCCAGGGCTTTATCGAAAAATTAATAAACTGAGAACTAATTGACGTAGATTTTACTTTAGTTTAACTGATACGACACACATTTTATTCATACAAGTAAAATCTTTAGTTAGGGAGCCATGGCTAAGAGCGTTATTTTATTATTATTGACTAACATAAGATACGATTTGTGTATATTACTAAAAAAATAATATATTTTTAGCGCTAACATTCGTCTTGGAGAGTACGACACCGGACATGAAGGTCCCGATTGTATGATCACTGAGGAAGGTGGTGAGGATTGTTCACAGGGAGTCACTAGGATACCAATTGATAGGACGATACCACACCCTCAATACAACCCTGCTCACCCGCAAAAGAGGAATGATATAGGCTTGATTAGAATGGCGCAAATGGCGCCTTACACAGGTTTGCATTACTGCTTTACTATCTTGCAAGTAATGAAAAATTGTTTCGATACCAAATGCTTAATTGAAGTTATTTATTTACCAGGACACTTTACCTATTTGAATTTTGCAGAATTTATCCGCCCCATCTGTCTGCCAACGTTAGATGTGACGCAAGGAACAGGTACCTTTAATACGACTGTTGCCGGTTGGGGTGCAGTCAGCACAAAACAATCTAGCAGCGCAGTAAAATTGCACGTTGAACTGCCATTTGTGAGCAAAGCTGTAAGTTGGCATTTTATTTTAGAATAAAAATATAATTTCAATGGTAATCCTGTAAACAATATCTTCTACTGACATGTTAAGATATAACAAATATAGTCAAGTAAAATATAGTACCTGCAAATATAATGATGACTCTAATACTAGTGTTATTAAAGATGTATTTTACATAGATTCTGTTAAACATCTTAGTTCTGTCTAGACTAGTATGGTGAGCTCTGTCACAAAAACCATCTACAGTTTTAAGAGTGTAACACATTGTATTATTCTTTTTATAGGTTTGCCAGCCAGCGTATGCAGTCCCTGGACGTAGTATACCCTTATGGAAGGGTCAGTTTTGTGCCGGTGGCGAGAAGGGCAAGGACTCTTGCAAAGGCGATTCTGGAGGCCCACTCATGTACGAAAACGGCAGGATATACGAAGCGATCGGTGTGGTCAGTTTCGGACCTATCCCTTGCGGTTTGGAGAATATACCTGGAGTTTACACAAACGTATTTGAATACATTACTTGGATTAGAAACACAATCGTTCCTTAACTTTACCCACTTTTATCGCCTTGGAATTTATAATTATAGGATTTGCGTTTTAAAGTACAAAAGTAATAATAAGTACATCATCAGTTTCATAAATATGACGTGTATCTTGACCATTAGACGCTTTGGTGACAATTGTTGGAAATAAGAACGAAAGTTAAATTTGGATTTGGATAATATTTTGGCAGTAGCTGTGTAATCTCGAAGAATCTTTTCTTTATGTCTATTTAACAACCTGTCTCATCTCATGGCTGTGAATAGTGGAAAGGAATAAAAAGGTCAACATTCAAAAAGCGTCAGTCAACAATCTGCGTTTGCATCCGCATTCAGTGTTCAAATATATTTAATGGAAAGGAAATCTAAGCTATCGGCTGACCAGAATTTAAGAAACGGAAAGCAATAACCTTGCTGGTAGTAATTTTATGTTCCAGCGTAGCGGCAAACATGTAGTTCGTAGTACCTAATATTATTATAAGTGATATCTAATAAATATTTTGTAACATATTTTTTGGCTTCTCATTTATTTTACGTTAATTATATCTTACCATGATTACACTACATACATATGTCTATAAAAATAATGATGTCAATTTACCTGTTTTAGAGGATACCTTTGCTTATGTGACCTTAAATCACTTGGGTTAAAGACAAAGGATTCATATCCTCCTTTCTAAGGAGAGGCTATTGTCCAGCAGTGGACTATTAAAACTGTCGATGATGATGATGATTCATATCTATAAGCATAAATTCCAGATGAAGGAAATGAGTATTTTCAAATAATATTTGGTCAAAAATATTTTAGGAAAAAACCAATAAAATATCTAGCATAAAACAAGTTAAGACTGCAGTTACTCAAAGGCAAAAGTGCAATGTAGTAGCAACTACCTGGCAACTTTTGCAAAGACTCAGAGAGGACAACTCTAAAGTAGAGGATTATAGGAAGACGCTTCTTTCACAGGACGTCAGGAGACAATTTGACAATCAATCACCATGATTCTAAATATTTGAATATTTTACAGTCAGAACTCTTAACCGGTCAAAGTATTTGTAACCGGCAAAGTCAAAGGTACTTTTGACTGCAATATCATACAGTTCTAATCATCCTCATCTAACCGAAATGATTTACAAACTTTTTAACGAACCCAAATGTTTTTTCTTTTCTTTTTTTTAAAAGACATGAAGAATATGTCCTGTGTCGCGGAGACTTTACAAACATACACCACTATGCCATCCGTACAGTCATTTAATAACAATAGATAGAACAGTCACAAGTACTGCTGCCCGATGTCGGTTAAAAATACCTTTGACCAGTTAAGAGTTCTGACAGTAACATATATAAACAAAGTAAAGAATAGAACGATATACAAAATTACCAGCTAAAATAATCCATGCAAAGTTCTTACTCAAAAGAAGAAAGATCAGTTTACTATACAATTTATCGTTATTCCAACAACAAGATACTAAAGAATACAATATTATTTAGTATATTTCAATGTACCTAAATCATAATAACTTTACTGTTATAAGCTGTATTTTTCATCCCCTTTTCCACGTTTAGAGGTAGAAAATTACCTGCACATTTAAATAGGAGCAACCTAGAACACAACTAATGAACCGAATTGGTTGTTCCTACTCAAGTTTTTTTAAAAGAATTATTTACTTCGGTTTATAGCTGGCGAAGATAGACCAAAAAATCTGCCAAATTTAGAGCCCACTTTTATGGAAGTTGGTTAAAAACAAAACAGTTAATTTCTAATAGCACTAAATCTCGACTTAAGATTATGGCCAAGATGATTTACGTACACCCATAAATATACAGCTGAGCCCGAGGACTAGATCGTTCTTTTCGAGGTTAAGGAGTGGGAAGGAAGGTCAAACGAAGTGCAACACCACTTCGTTTTCGGACCGATATGGCTGTATCATTTAACCTGCCATCGACGTCATAACACATTACACGAGTACGAGTATGTACAAACGCGTTGCCGGCCTCTGAGGAAGGACTACGCTCTTTTCTTGAAGGTTTGCACTTTGAGTCTTCCTACCCAGGATCACGTTGAGCAGAGGTTTGGGCTCCGGTAACCTCAATTACTTTATGAAAGTAACGAAAGAATTGTTTAGCACCAGGGTTAGGCCCGTGCGGTGGTGCACATGTGCCGAAGTAAATTTTTGCTAAAAACTATGAGGTGTGTTAGGCTTAGCAAATGATTCAATAGTCTCTTAGGTAGTTAAAGATAAAATTATATAATAGTAATAAGCTTGTTAATTGTAGTTTCTTTGTTTTGTTACTTTATTATGCATGATGGGACGCCTTAAAATGTGCATTAATCTCAATATAATGGATAGAGCTTAGCTTTAGATTTTACCAAATAATGTAACAACTACTGGCTGTCCAATATATAAATAAATAAATAAGTATGGCTCTCAAATACATAAATGATAACTACCATTTTACCTACCTCGATCACTCATTTATAACTGGTATCCGAGATGGCGTGCGGTTTTAAGTCGGTTCGACTCCGAAAAAACCATCCCACCGGTGAGTGGTTTCCGAGGGGATTTCCGAACAGAAAAAACAGCTGTGAATCCATGCTTATATAATAAATGTGAAAGTGTGTTTATTTGTTAAGCTTTCACGTCTAAACTAATAAACCGATTTTTGAAATTCTTTCACCAATGGAAAGCTATATTTTCAGCGAGTAACATAAGCTACTTTTACCGCGATAACCAACATACACGTGGGCGGAGCCGCGGGCAAAAGCTTATAACTAATACGATCTCATTATTCTTAACAAATATCATTATTCTCAGTAGTATTACGCCTACAACACTACATAAGTAATAAATATAAAAACTAACGGACCAAGTATAACACAAAAAACTTTTATAGACTAAGAAAATTGTAATGAATTATGTTTGTTTAGAAAAACGTTAGAGGAGCTAAACCAAGTCTGCCATTGTTAATTGAATAAAACATTTAACCGATCAACGATATCTTCGTGTGCTGGGATATCCCAAAGTGCAAATTCACATATTTATGGACTGACCATCAACAGAATAAAAAACCCACGATTAAAAACTTCGCCATTTATTACATGTTGAAGGAATAACGCTTTGTAAGGATATGTTTTTGGATATCATTTAATTCTTGTTTTTTTCTTGAGATAGTAATTTACGTTCTTCGACTATATGAGAACCACGCTATACTGTACACTCATAGTGCTGCCAACTGTTGTCCAGTGTAGACGCGTACAGTATATGTTGTGAATCAAGCTGTGATATTTATACAAAATGAATAACTTAAGAGTGTTGTCCGTCTTGTTTATTGTTGGTTGTCTGATAAAAGGATGTAAGTTTATGTATTTTAATTCTTGAATTATCTGTTCATAAAGTTTATTGAGAAAATTGTTAAATCCAAACTTAAAAGTCACGGTGAAGATACTTTAAGTGGTGATGAATCGTTTCGTCTTGAAAGTGAACTTTGAAGTTCGTGTATCATCGTAATTATATACGTACATTAGTTAAGAGTATTATTAGGTTTTGTGGCATTTATAAGCTTCACTTTTAACTGAACACTTCAAGTACTCCTTCCTTAAAGGCCGGCAACGCGTTTGTGACTCCTTTGTTGCAGACGTTCATGGGCGGCGATAGTCACTTTCCATCAGGTGACCTGTCTGCTCGTCTGCCCCCTCTAACATAATAAAAAAAATACCTAGTTCTGTATCGTAATGAAACTTTGTACGTATAAGATTAGACGCCAATACTATAATCGGTAGTCTTGGAGCTGATCTGATGATGGATGCAAGAGGTGGATAGTAGTGGATACTAGAAAACACCTCGAATTTCGGCTAACAAACAACAACCAACAAATTTGGTATTTGAAACGCTGGTCTAATAATGAAGCGAGAAGTTGTTTAGTTGAAATGACTTGCTAATAAGGTGTGCTTTATTTAGGTTCTCTAGACTTTAAATTATTTCTATAAGTAACTCCGTGTGGTGACGGATTAGGAATATAGAGTGTCACCACCCCTATTCATACCGTGGGTGTCGTAAGAGTCGACTAAGGGAGCAAACTACGCAGGACAACAGCACTGCAAAGAGAAGGAAAACTTGAAACAAACCCTATACCAACCCATCTGGCCAGCGTGGTATAGTAGGCCAAAACCTCCTTTCTAAGGAGAGGCCTATGTCCGTGAGTCGACTGTTATAGGCTGTTCATGATGATGATTGATGATGATAGCTTTTAAACTAAATAAATAACAAAGGAACGTAAACATAATTGCTGTTATGATGTTGTAACACGAAATACTCAAAAGTAACATCGGTATAACTTTTTTTCACATTGTTTTTTTTTGTGAGAAGGTAAATTATAATCACCATAAAATTATTATTCTTAGAGTAACATGGTTATTATCTGGCTTGTTGATCTAGTGGTTAGTGACCCTGATTGCTAAGCCAGAGGTCGTGGGTTCGGTTTCCATCCAGGACAAATAATTGTGTGATAATGACGATTATTTGTTCTATGTCTGGGTGTTATTATTACTCTATAATATGTATTTATTTAGAAATATATAAGTGCGTTTATCATCAGTCACAAACAGACAGATAGACAGAAGTTCTTGTACAAATATCCACCCAAAAAACCAAAGAACAGAACTGGTACAAGCTCTGTTTAGTTTGGAAAATTTCATTATTATATATTAATGGTATTAGCTGGTACCCGCGACTTCGTTCGCGTGGAAATTGAAATGCTCTACCTTAGTGGGTTCGACACCCGGACCGGACAAAATTTTATAAGGTTTTTCTGACAGGCAAAATAGCCGAAGTTACTCCTTATATAGACAGCTACCTGGTAGCAAAATATTATCAAAATCGGTACAGCCGTTTGAAAGATTACCCGGAACAAAGAGACAGACGATGATTTTGACAGTTTTTTTTTGTAAACTGGTTTTTAAGTATAGGTATCCGGCAAATAGCTGTGTGAGCATGAAAAAAATAATTATTTTGACATTTACTAGCTGGCACCCGCGACATCGTTTGCTTAAAATTTAAAAAGCACTGCCATAGCGATACGCGACTGTAGTCCATGAGGCCTCGGGTCCGATTCCCGGACCGGGCAAAATTTTATAGGGTTGTTCTGAGAGGAAGGCCTAAGGTATACCTTATACATATAGACAGCTACCTAGTAAAATAATATTATCAAAATCGGTCCAGCCGATTTGAAGATTACCCGGAACAAACAGACAGATAGACAGACAAATTATAATATTTATTTATATAAGTAATATATTTTTATTTAAGTTCTTGTACAAATATCCACCCAGAAAACCGAAGAACAGAAAAGAAGAACAAAGGTGCGCACGATAGGTTGCGCACAAAAAACGTAACGAGGTCATTCGATAACTAAATTTTACTCTTCATAAATGGCGACTTATATGAAAATCATTTCTTAACTTAAAAATACATATAAGTACTAACTATGTATGTATATACTATTTACAAAAAATAATGTTTTTACATTGACGTCATTTTCAAAATTATAATAGAACCAGTTAAGGTTCAGTTAAAACAGAAACGCAATACAATTTAACATCACTATGGCTTCAAACCTGTTGTCTTAAAAAAATCGCTTAATAAATAATATTATAAAACTTGGTCAGTAATTATAACATGTTGTTCTGGGATCCAAAATTTACATAAACATGTGATATTATATAATTTATTGTTTAAAATAATTAAAAACATTACTTTATGTAATCTATTCTTTTATTTTCCTGATGATACTTATCAGCATACAAATATTTAATAATAACATAATAATATTTCGGACATTTGACACACAACGCCATCTAGTTTCAAACTAATGTACTATGAAAGCTAGATTGACTGATAGAATACTTATATACTTTTTGTTGTAAATACATACATATTATACGAGTACATAGAAAACACCCAAACTAAGAAATAAATATCTGCAGATCACACAAACATTTGGTCTTAATTAACAGAATTAACACCATTCATTTTTTAAATTATAATCCCTAGGCCTTTCTTTCAATAAAGGTCCAGGTCCAAGGTCCCATATCGTATAAAGTATCCCTTGCAATGTATACAGTACGTCTGTGCATAAAAAACGAACAACTGCGTATGTACATTTCATGCATATAATGCAAAGATCTATACATCATCTTCTATACAAATAAATAGAATTGGAGTGTCTATTTGTAATATTAAAATAACCGCTTTTTAATAAATGCATATGTATGTTTACACGGTACATATGCCAAAATAACATTTTTTACAATTTTTGTCTGTCTATCTGTTTGTTCCGGGTAATCTCTGGAACGGCTGGACCGATTTCGACGGGACTTTCACTGGCAGATAGCTGATGACATAAGGAGTAACTTAGGCTACTTCTTATAAGACTAGCTTCGCCCCGTGGCGTTGCCCGCGGTTATAACAACAAACGCGGGTAACACCGCAGGTCTCAGCTAGTCTATGATAAAAATAGAGTAATGACCACAGAAGCTTTAAAGGTCAGGTTATCATTTTGTTGGACTTAAATGTTACTGGCAATTAGTGGCATGTTAAATCTTTCAAAGTAATAAAACCGAATTTGCGTTTATACATCAGAACACAAATGTCAACCCCTGCAGTTACTAGTCAGATTACAAAAAAACGGCCAAGTGCGAGTCGGACTCGCGCACGAAGGGTTCCATAACATATAAAACGGTAAAAAAATCATGTGTGTTGTATGGCAGCCCATTTGAAATATTTTTTTTATTTTAATGTAAATATTTATTTTTAAATTGAATTTATAACTAAATATTCTGTGAATATTTCAAGCGTCTACCTGTTGCCGTTATCGATATCGAGCAAAAACGAGCAAAAAAATCACGTTTTTTGTATGAGAGCCCCCTTAAACATTTATTTTATTCTGTTGTTAGTATTCGTTGTTATAGCGGGAACAACAATACATCATGTGTGAAAATTTCACGGTTACGGTTACGAACTATCACGGTTCATGAGATACAACCTTGTGACAGACGGACAGACAGACAAATGGACGGACGGACAGCGGACTATTAGTAATAGGGTCCCGTTTTACCCTTTAGGTACGGAACCCGGTATTTAGTACCTATGTAATTATAAATTTATATATATCCATGTATTGTGAACCAATATAACATTTATGACATATTTATGTATTTACCCAACAATAATACTTTTATGCAATCCCGTCACAGACACCAGAATCACTAAGCTTAATATTTACACCCTGACCATCCAAGGGTTCCCTGTAAGACGTATCGCTTCTTACGATAAGGCCGCCCTTTGTGCATTTTATGCATGAATTAACCTATATACTTTTGTGTATTTGTTATTTAACCTTTGGCGTACAAAAAATATATTTATTATTATTGATATATGTTATTTTTGATATATGATATATATAAACTATATAAAAGAATTGCTATAAAACCCCAAACATGTTTAAAATGACGTTTTATTTAATTACTTGGAAATATCACTATAGCAAGGAAATATTTTATCAAACACCAAATAACATTGCTCCCTTAAATGTCTGTAAATATGTTAAGATAATTTACGTTAACATATTATTATTATAATATAAAACAACAATAAAACTTAATATCCATTTTTGACAATTACACATTCATACAAACATTAGATTCTATGATAACATCTACACACATAGTTTATTTCGGTCTCTGACTATTCAGTGACCAAAAAACCGAATTCGAATTACGATTCGTTCATCTGCTTCTTATGTTTTCTTTTCGCAATTGTTCCTGGCTGTCACCAGCAACTTCCTATCCATCTCATAATTTTTAGCTGGTTTCTTTTTCCTTTAATACATACATGTATTTAAAAAAAAACTATAGCCCAAGGTGTATATGACACGAGCCTAAATAAACACTTATAATTTAATGTGTGAATATCTGTGACAAATCAAAATCAATCAAGTGTCATAAGGTCATTGCACTAACAATTAATTATTTCTTGCTCAAATATTATCCGTAATATTTGGTAACATTTTCCTGTTGTTAAAGAATAATGAACACTTTGTAAATTATAATTTTGAGCATCCTATAACTATAATGATTTGAGATCGCCTGTCAATCAAATTTCGAACGATTTCAATGTCTCGTTTTATATCGTTGACAGGTATAATTTGGATTGTTAATCAATCATCAACAGTCTTTAATAGTCCACTGCTGGACATATGCCTCTCCTTAGAAACAAGGTTTTGGCCTACTATCCTACGCTGGCCATACGGGTTTTTATAGGGTTTGTTTCAAGTATTCCTTCTCTTCGCAGTGCTCTTATCCTTCAGAGTTTGCTCCCTTAGTCGCCTCTTACGACACCCACGTAATAAATAAGGGTGGTGACACTCCGTATTCTTAATCCGTCACCAGACGGATGAACCGTTATATAAAGACTATGGTACCATGACAGTTTTAAATATATACTGGTCCTGGAGCTTTATGTAACCGTTTTAGATATTTCTTTTAACTTTATAGCACGTACTGTTTAAAAATTTTAGCTTCTTGCACTTCTTCTGCATATACATACAATTATCAAATATGATCTTCCGTGATTCATATTCATTTTAAATCTGGTTCAAAGAATTGTCTTCACGAATACAATATCATCATCCTATAATAGTCCAATAATAGTGCTGGACATCGGCCTCTCCTTAAAAAGGAGGTTTCTCACTCTTTAAAAACTATAAGAATATATTTAGCTTTCACGCATAAATGACTCATCAGAAAATCATGAAATTTTGCATAGATACACGTTTCCTGTTTATTATTCTTTTTATTTTAAGTACGACTTTTTTAATAGAAGAAAAAATCTTTAAAAGTATAAAAATAGTATCCCACCTATATCAGATACATAGACAAAGGTTTCGCTATTTAGTGATTCAAAAACACTGAAACAGACCACTTTGCTACTACACAGGCCGTTATGTTATTATTATTAATAGTGTAAAAGATTCAAGTGTAAAAATTTGTAAAATTGATAGTGTAAAAATTTACATGTCGCGAGGGATGATAGTTTGATTGTCATTTTACAGTGAATGGGCAGTGTAGAACAGTAAGCGCTGGACGGGGCCAGTGTATATCAATATATAACTGTCAGGAGCTGTTAGCACTGGCCAAGAGGATGTTACCTCAAGATATAGATGTATTAAGGAGATCAGAGTGTGGCCGTGTTAATGGCGTACCTGCTGTAAGTATATCTTTGGTAGAAATTATTTACCAATTGCTTTTTACTTTTTAGTCCTTATTAACCGACATACTGACACACATCAAAACAATGTTGCAGTATATTTAATAATGCGACTGTATCTATCTATAATAAAAAAAGAGTAGCCGTGAGTTTGTTTGCCCTTTATTTTCATAAGGCTCAACCCCTTCCCTTTTCCCTTCCAAAGGAAACAGTGGTTGCAGATTGGCACAGCCATGTTGGATTGGATTTATTTTGCTCAATATTTAATAAAACAGATTGATGCTATTGTGTGTGTAGATCTATGACTGTAGAGTCTACAAAAAAAGACGATTTCACGTGATTTTAATTTCTGTTTGAAATAAACATGTTTTGACTTTGACTTTAAATCTTCATACATTAATGGAAAAGGTTCAAGAAATAAATGTTTCGTTTAATGGGGTAAACGAACAGACGGGTCATCCATTAACACTTTTTTTTTGTGCGGAAATCCCCTCCGATACCATACGGATAAAAAGTGTCAACTAGGTACCTCCATATCAAATTTTATCAAAATTGGTCCGTTCGTAAAAAAAGTCCGGTGAAAAAGTGACAAAAATACACACAAAGTTTCGCCTTTATAATATCAGTGTGATTACTTAGGTATATTTGAATAGCCCGACGTTTCAACCAGGTCGCTCTGCAGTCGCCACAGGCTGATTGGTTGCTGTGACTATTACGTGAACACATACATTCCTGTATACATAAATAATTAAATTAAGTTCAAAAAGTTACTTCATTAGGCTAATTAGTGGATGGTTATTGCTTTTATTATAAAACTAGTAGAATATTAAGTCTAATCTACTCCGTCCATTAAAGCCATGTAAATAATATGTTTTCTTTTCAAAGATTTACTTTCTTCCCTTTTTTCTCTTTGAATTTAGTCCACATTTTGAACGTCTTTAACATACATTGCCTTAGGCTATAAATATAAATTAAACAGAAATATAATTTAAAAAAAGTTAATCCCTCTTTAAAGAGGACTCTTAGAGAAATAACTGTGTCAAAACACGCATCCACTAACATCGGATATTATATTTTGTTCCAAATCTGCTAATATTATGCAAAATTATACTGCAGGTGTGCTGTCCACAACAAAGACCAACACCAACACCACCACCGTCGAGGCCGCCGCCGCCGCCGCCTCCGCAACCACAAAACAAACAATGCACCACACCCGACAACAAGTCTGGACAGTGTGTCAACTTATATTCCTGTCCAGTACTAGTTAATATGTTGAAGCAATCTACTTCGCAGCAAAACATTGAATTCGTGCAAAGATCAAGGTAAACATTTATTTATTTGACTGCACGGATGGGATAGTGGTTTAAGCGGTCGCCACGCCGCTCCCTACTACGCCGAGTGTTGTGGGTTCAAATCCCACATGGGACGATACTTTGTGTGATACACAAATTGTTAAAAAAAAATTTATAAGTATAGTAAATATAGTATAGTAACTCGACAACATTATAAATTTAATTATTATTATTAGCAAAATACAGTAAAATCTCAGTATAAGATCCGTCAACAAGTAACGGATACGGATCAAATCCTGTGTCATCGTCGGATATCGGAATTCGGATATGGATTTTCGGCACATCACTAATACATCCAGGGGAAAAAATATACAGACTGAAACACAAGATTAAATAAACTGAAATATAAAATTAAGAGACGCTTTCAGTCTATCAATTACTATATTTTTTTCGACATTATTTGTACAAATATTGCTTATTTGTACAAATAATGTATAACCATAAAACAATGTATAAACATAATGAAGGAAATAAATTATAGAAATTACGTCAGTTATAAAATCAATATGCAAAAATATCGCTTAATAATAACTTGTAGTCGGAATGTCAAGGATTCAAATGATGATTCTTAACATTCATTTAGAATTTACAAGCAGGGATCAGCACGGATGGCGTAGTGGTTTAAGCGGTCACCTCGCCTCTTCCTATTGCGCTAACTGTTATGGGTGCGATCCAGAAATTATTGTTCTGATTGAAGGTGTTCTTTGTGTCAATTTCATTATTAATTCCTAGTGCGAGAGTTTTTTAAAAAGAAAGAAAGAAGAAAATGTAGATTTTTGTCATCTCTTGGAAACCGTTCTCTTTGTACCTATGCAGTTTTCCGTAACCATATCAACGCAACGTATACGCGTTGACTAGGAGCCGTTAAGCTGTTAAAAATAAAGGTGTAACCTACAAAAAATCACATTCGCATATATAATAACAGTTTAGATAAACATTTCAAACACTCATAATACGGAATACGACAAAGGTACAAAAATACCGTGATGTTTTTTTATTTTATTTATAATAACTTGTTTGTTGAGGCATCTTGAGGTACATAAGGAAAATATGATATAATTATATTTTATGGATATTTCATATACATGAGTTAGATTAATGTTTTAGTGACTTAGATTAATTTTTATACACTAGTATTGTGGCGACACCCCACATACAAAGAAACAGAAACATACTAAAGCGCTATCTAACGAAGACACACCGAACTACGGATTAACTCCTGAATAAGAATTGCTAATCCTGTATCGGGATATGAACGATGGCGGAAATTTGCGGCTGGTATTAGTCCGAACAATTCCTCGGAGCACTCTCCATGATATATGCGACAGAGAATGCAGAGTGAAGCCACATCTCTACGTAACGCCAAGGGATCGAGCCGATCGGAGATTGAGTTAGAAACTCATTTATCGGGATAATCCTTGGACAAGGCTAGATAATACCTTGCAGACCCTCCGCAAGTGACAGGCCGCCTTACTCTATAGGGCGCATAAGTGTGCTGGGGTTCACGAGGTTTTCGTTTCTAGGGTACACCTGAGGCCCCGTCAAAAGAGCTGATGGCGGAATATTCGGCTTAGTCGGTTTGAGTCCGATATACAACCTTACCGATTAGCCCCAGAAAGGTGACGACCTGAGAGGGTTTCCACATAAACTGGATGTTTGGTGGACTGCGACTAAACCGAACTGTTGAAAAGCTGTATGGAATATATCAACCGGCGCGAGAGTATTCATTGCGCGATACATAACAGCTTATTATTAAGATCAGATTGTCTCCGCTAGATGGCATTGAAGTCTATACATGGCATTATACTATTAACGATTGCTTCTTTGTATGTGGAAGCTTGTTATTAACAATCTAAGTGTTACTCAGCTATCTGTATTAATATTAGCTTTCCTAAAAATAAATAAATAAAATAAGTATGTGGTTGTCTTTTTACATTAATAATATTGATAACGATAAAACTCTACTTAAGGTCAGACATAACTTTTTTTATTAATAGGCCTAAAGTTCGTCAATAAACAATAAACCAAAATAGAAAGGTTTTGCCAACAGTGAAGAAAGGTCACTTTGTCAAGCCTAAGTATTGTAATGAGGAACCAGACAGTTGGGACTAGGTTTAAAGTTTAACCTTATTTTATATTTTCAGATGTAGTGGCCCCGATGCATACAGCGTATGCTGCCCTTCCTCGGCAGCCAATACAGTTAAACCGAAAAACAAGTGTGAAGCTACAATATCTGCTTTACCACCGGATTATTCGTCTGGATGCTGTGGTGTTGATTCTAGTGTCAGTAATAAGATATTTGGTTAGTATCGTACTGAATATTTCAAACACATCTTTTTTAACCTGTCCAATTGATGACCTAGTGGAGGATTCAATCCAGGGGACGGATATGCAGGTACGCGAACCCGGTCTCTCGACTACCATAGACTAGTTCTTGCCTCCCCATCTAAGTCTTTCAGGATTCCTTACCCTAGCTCACTCTCCCTGTTTTCTTTATCTTAAGCTAACTTCTTCTTTTCTCTCTTGAAAACAATTATATTCCCAAGGAGGGCTGGCCGCTGGCAGCAAAAAAACAGGCAAACCCTTTTGCAATGCCACATATTGCGCTAATCAAGAATAAAATTTGGGAAAGAGCCGGTAAATAATTATGATGACTAATATGAGAAGACTCAAATTCAAAAGAAAACTACATTAGAAAGTCTTCTACCTGAAGGAAGGTTAGGAGATATTTACTATATTGTTACCAAATGTTAGCGAAGGTAAAACTGCGACGAACGACTACTCAGACAAACACGACGACTTACAAATACTCACGAATATTTACGCAATTTTAGGGTTAAATTTAAACATAAGACGCATAGTGGGATAAACAAAACAGTTATTCTACTGCACTTGTTTTCATATTCATAGATTTGTAGACTCTAATTTAGGATGAAATCGTCGTTGTTCTGACCGGAATCCTAAATATATTTATTCGAGCACGCGTGAGTGTGTACATGCCAGTGATTGTGTTCAGTGTTTCTGGCTTGGCTATTTAAAAACCAATGAAATATAATAATATCTATCATTATAGGCGGTGAAGAAGCAACAATAGATCAATACCCGTGGTTGGTACTCATAGAGTACCAGAAGGGTGGACAGATGAAGACATCGTGTGGCGGTAGTCTTATAAGTGGCAGATATGTTCTGACCGCTGCTCATTGTCTCGTTGGACCAATTTTAGAAAAGAGTGGCAAACCGTAAGCAATGTTTTACTTTAAATTATATTATTTTCATTATTATCATCAAGCCTATCGCCATCCACTGCTAAACGAAGGATTCTCCCAAGAGCGTCAACTATATACGTCTTGGGCAGTCCGCACATCTATATATATATATATTTTGTTATGAAATGCTCCTAAACGGCTGGACCGATTTTGATGAAATCATTTGTGTTCAAACGGATTCAAAAACGGTTTAAATTCACAATTTGGTAATAATCACGAAAAAAATATTTTACGAAGTTCGCCAGGACAGCTAGTTTAATATATATGTTGATGATTAAAAATTTATATATTGTTGATCGCTATTAAGATAAAATTAGCAAATCGATAATTATATTTGTCAAAATTTTGAAAGCACTACTTTTTTGTATACCTTACTGTATAATATATAATTACTTATAGTATCCAAAGCATTACAAGTTCCCGTTCACTCCGCAATAACGTTTAAATAAAAAGCGACTCTATTTCGAAAAATGATGTTAACAATATTTTCACAGAACAAGAGTCCGCCTTGGGGAATACGACAAGAACCACGAAGGACCTGATTGTACGCAAGTGGAGGCTGGAGGTGAAGACTGCACAGAAGGCGTAGTCAGAATACCTATTGAGAAGACGATAGCACATCCAGAATATAACACCAGGAGTGGACCCAGGTGGCACGACATAGGTTTGATCAGATTAAACCGCTTAGCACCTTACACAGGTTTGTATATTTATTAAAATAAGTATAATAACTAGCCGTATCATTTCGTGTTATTTAACACAACTTATGTTATAAATGCGATAAGTTGAGTAGTTAAGGTATCGCACTTATAGACTACCGATGCCTTAATTAACTTTGTACTCAATTGTTCGTAGTAAAATCATGGATACGCCTTCTCAGGGGTACAGAAAAGTACAGTACGCTGTTATTGCGGCAGCAAGTTATGTGGGCGACACGGGACCCCTCTCATACGCCGTCTCCTTCTGCGAGCAAGTTATACTCGAGAAGGAGACGGGTACCGGGAGAGGTTAAAAACTCTCCGCCCTTTAGTGAGTAGAGAAGGAACATCATGGAACACACGAGAAAGTCAACTACAAGCTGCAGATAGCTCGGAGTCCAGGAATTTCCTTTCTAGTTCCTTCCTTGGAGTCTGACATAACCACCCCACGGGTTGTCCGGTGGGTTTTCCACACAGACAAAAAAAATTGGGTGTACAGAAAAGACATAAGACACATTTTATGCAAAATCCTGTTCATCATCATTACATCAACAGCCTGTCATAGTCCACTGTTGCTCCACCTTAGTCGACTTTTACGACACCCTCGCGATGTATAGGGGTGGTGACATTACGTATTTTTAATCCGTCATCACGCGGATAAAAAAATCCTGTTACATAGGGATTAATTAATAACATTTACGATCACAGCTGCGGACCTCAACTACTTCGAATTAAAGCAATCGGAAGCTGTGAGAGATTACTAGCTTGACAACACAAATTAAATTTAAATGTTTTATTCTTTCAGATTTTATCCGTCCCATCTGTCTCCCGAAACGCGACATAACGCTTACCATTAATGCTGATGACAAACTCACTACAGCTGGGTGGGGAGCTGTCAGCGATAGGCAAGCCAGCAGCAGTGTAAAGCTCTTTGTCGACCTGCCTTTTGTATCCCAAGACGTAAGTCCATAATCTGTTGTTGTATACTAATTGTGGGTCAGCATTGGACACGGATATTATTTTTCTTTATTATTTTTCACGGATTTTATAAAAAAAAAAACAAAGACTATTCCCACACTACGTATAATGCCTGGCGCACAGGACTTGTATCGTGACGTTCTTTTACACATAATATGACATCTATTTATCTGTTACAGATATAGAAAGATATATATATGTATATTTGATCCTTAGACATGAAGAAATATTAATATTTTTTTTTCAGATTTGTCAACCCGCTTACAACAATTTAAAAAAAAAAGAGCCGCTGTCGAAAAATCAGCTTTGTGCCGGAGGTGTAAAAGGCAAAGATTCTTGCAGAGGTGACTCCGGAGGTCCTTTAATGTTCGAACTGAACAGGCGACATGAAGTCGTCGGTATTGTCAGTTTTGGCCATAGAGAATGTGGCTTAGAAAATATTCCCGCAATCTACACCCACGTATACCAATACGACTCTTGGATTAGAAGTAACATTACTCCTTAGTTTCTCTTAATTTAAATATAATTTGTACAAAATACCTTTATGTCCTCAATAAAAAAAAATAACACCAGGAGTGGACCCAGGTGGCACGATATATATATATATTTTTTATTAATTTTAATTAATTTCCTGTAAAAAAATTGTGCTTGCTGTGCTTGCCTGTAAAAGGCTACATTACTATTATGTAACTTTGTAATGTAACAGAAGAACAATTTCTGGATCACACAAAGTGTGGGGTTTGAACCCACAACACTCGGCGTAGTAGAAAGCGGCGTGGCGACTACTTAAACCACTACGCCATCCGTGTAGTAATAAAATATTTTAGAAATAATTTACTTAAGCGCATGTTTGATCGGAAGATGTGGATTTTGTACATTTACTGATTGCTACATTTGAAGTTTAAGGTCAGAAATATCGATTGTCATCGCGCCCCTGTTTTAATAAATTCACAGATATAAACTTTTGCAGACTTAATTTTAAAAGTTAGGTATATAACACTAGTCGATCCTGTTGTGCTAATAAAATGCAACATGCGGCGTTTAAACAAAACCGATTAGATAACTTCCAGTATGTGTATTAGTTAACACTGTTGGTTCAACACTTAATATATAGGTGTTAGGTGTTTGACTTATCAGTTTTTTTTCGTTACCTTCGATGGATCGCAGCCCATCAATCGCCAAAGTGCTTCAAAAACAATACCTGATTTTAATTACGAGTAGAAGTAGTAACTTGACCCGTCCCCTCACCGCTTCCAAACACGAACAACAATTTGTGAATCACACAAATTATTGTTATGATTTGTTATGAAACGGACACAGAGAAAGGTTCATTTGTGTCCGTTTCATGTATGTCTGTAAAGTCTCCCGCGACACAGGATATGTTCCTAGTGCGGGAGTTGTCAATTAAAATTAGAATAAATGAATTTATATATCTCATTCTTCCAAAATCGTAGTATCAAACCGTTAAAAGTAACCAAAAGGCAGATGATCTTTCTGCATATTTAGGAACTGTGTAAGTACCACGTAGACCGATTCCTAGTACCTTGTAAAAAATAGGTACATAATTATATTTGATTAGTTTTTTAGAGAAAATGAGGTAAGCTAGAGATGGATTTTTATTTTCATACGAAATGACAAATGATGACATGATTTTAATTAGTAATTGAAACAAAAACAACCATTGACAAAGCATGCTATTTTGTCGGCTAGTTCTTAAAATAAATTTACTAATTCGATATTTCGAATTTTATTTAACGTCGTACATCAGCACACATTGTCCGTGTGGTGACGGATTAAGAATACAGAGTGTCACCACCCCTATTCATGCCGTGGGTGTCTTAAGAGCCGAATAAGGGAGTAAACTACGCAGGACAACAGCACGACAGAGAGAAAGAAAACTTGACACAAACACTATACCAACCCGTCTGGCCAGCGTGGTACGAGTATAGTATGCCAAAACCTCCTTTTTAAGGAAAGGCCTATGTCCAGCAGTAGACTATTAAAGGCTGTTGATATGATGATGTGTGATGATGATCAACACACACATTTATAGTATACTAGCTGTAACCTGTCACGCTTCGCTGTGTCACGTTGTGGTCTCATTGAAGAAAATCTTTGAAGCGTATTATAGTTATATCGTGTTAAATATTGAGCTGAATCGGTGTAGAACTTTTTGAGTTTTTAAAGCGTTCACAAACCAACATAACACTTATTTTTATGAGACTAGCAGTACCCAGCCACGCTTCGCTGTGTCACATCGCGGTCGCATTGACGAGAAATAAGGAACAAAACTAAAGCTAAAAATAAATAAAAACAATGTTTGAAAATCGTGTCAAAATTTGAGCTCAATCTCCCTAGGTGTTCTAGGAGCGATTCTGTATTAGGAATGATACTAGCCCGGGACAGTTAGATGGTAGTTGTTACACATCACAACAATGATAATAACGTTTAATATTCAAAGAAAAATTACAAGCATGATTTCGACAAAAAATATGCTGTGTAAAAGGAACACCAACACAAGGATATTGATACCCTTACGAAATAGTATGTTCAGTGTCAGTTCGGCTTCTTCTTCTTCTTTTGGCTTAAACCAATAGATTCTTTATTATTATTTTTATTTAAGTAACATTATAAGCTCACAGTCAGACCAAAACACTTATATGCTATGCTAGATTGGATCAGATTATATAAACGTTACTGCTGCACTTACCTCTGGCATTGGTGGCGGCGTCTGCAATCTTCTGGAACGCATCTAGAAATGCAGCTATCGCAACCAGTGCTGATCTGTTAAAAGAAAAATAAATTCAATGTAAAAACGACACTGGCTGAAGAGAATATTCGAAAATAATACGCATTTGAAGAGAAATATGTACATTATAGGTCCGTGTGGTGACGGATTAAGAATACAGAGTGTTACCACCCCCATTCATCCCGTAGGTGTCGTAAGAGCCGACTAAGGGAAAAAACTACGCAGAACACCAGCACTGCAGAGAGAAGGAAAACTTGACAGAAATTCTATACCAACCCGTCTGGCCAGCGTGGTATAGTAGGCCAAAACCTCTAACCTCAAAACCTCTTTCTAAGGAGAGGCCTATGTCCAGCAGTGGACTAATAAGGCTGCTGATGTGATGATGATGTAATGTGAAGTTTTTTTAACTGAAAAATATTGATGCACTAAAGAAAACACTCAACTTTTACCCTTCTCCTGTTATGTAATACTCGATCACATTACGTATGTAATACTCTATCACGAATTTCTCGCACATCTCACTGTCTCTTTAATTTGAGCTTATGTGCACTTACATTTGTTAAGTTAGATAATAGCTTGGTGTAAACATCCATATTCATATTACAAATTTGAAAGTGAGTTTGTTTGTTTATTACGCTTTCATGCCTAAACCACTAAACCGATAAAAAAAATATTTCATCAATGGAAAGCTACATTATCAGCTGTAACAACGTGTGGTCACCACACGTTGTTACAGCAGGATTAAGAAGACCGAGTGTCACCACCCTTATTCATCACGTGTTAGGCCAAAACCTCCTTTCTAAGGAGGGGCCAACGTCCAGCAGTGGACTATTAAAGGCTGATGATGTGATGTGTGATGTTAACATAGGTTACTTTTTATCGCGATAACCGACATACATGCGGGCGGAGCCACGGGCAAAAGCTAGTTAAACATAAACTCAATACTACTGAGTACTACGAATTATTTTTGTAAAATGAAAAAATATTGGTGATTTGTACTTTTATTTATTTTCACTGAACAACTGCTTTCTACAGTGATTGGTATGGAGTAGTAATTATCGCGATGCGATTATAACAATAACTAAGGGAATAAAATTTCTACGTAATATTGCACCATGCAACACATTTCTGAAGGTTCGAGCATGAACCCCTTTCATACCATGAGTATGAACTGTACACGGTAAAATGAACCAATAATATCTACCAATTATTACTGTAATACCGGCTTACTGATCACACTGCTATTAGGTTTCCGTAGATCAGATCATCATCATCACAGTCCACTGCTGTACATAGGTATATCCCACTGCATGCCACTCATATCAATCCAGGTCCTAATAGCCGTCTTGCTCAAATCATCATTCCATCCGGCTTCCTACACTACGTATGCCGAGACGCAACACCTTTTATAATTTGATTCGTTTTGTTAATTTACCCTAAAACATGTTATATTTTTTTATAGCACAGGGGGCAAACGAGCAGACACGTCACCTGGTGGTAAGTGACTACCGCCGCCCATTGACACCTGCATTGCATTGGCACCTGTCGATCCGGCCCACTTGTGCCTAAACATGGCTCTGCCACAATACATAACATCGTTTGTAACAATTCTTCTACTTCTCTAACCTATTTACGACCGGATGGCGTAGTGGTTTGTGTAACGGGCTGCTAATCCAAAGGTCGCGCTTTCAATTCCCGCTCAAGTCAAACATTTGAGTGCATGAAAATTTAATGTTTGATTTGGTTTGGATGTTTCTATGTATAGTATACATACAGTATTTACAAAAAAAGTATATATGTATTTATATCAGTTGTCTAGTACCCATAGTACAAGCTCTGCTTAGTTTGGGACTAGATGGCGTTGTGGGAATGAGGTAGAATATTATATTATTATTTAGCTGTATAGAGGCGGCATTTCCGGATTGTATTAAAGATTCCACAGATTACAGTCAGAGTGTTATTTTGTATTCAATGAATCAAGTGGAAAAAACGTAGATTTATTACAGTCAATTTGCATCTCAATAGCCGGCTCAATTGATTCTAAACGATGCCAACTGGTCTTATTATGGAAACTATACAGTAGCTTTACTACAATTTAAATTTAAAACTTTCCAAAACAAAAGAAAAACTACTTCATTTTGTTACATACATTTATAAATTAAAATATATAATAAATAATTCAATATACATTTACAAAGAAAATAGATTTTGTAATTATAATTATTATGAGTAAATTAACGTCTAGTAAGTCACGTAAGTGTCTCGCATCAAAATAAAGGCAAACGAGATTATCTAAATTCCTTGATTGATTCTTAGTCTAGATACCCAATCAAGATAGTCTTTATACGCAAAAGAATGGCAGACAGAAACAAATATCTTTTAAACACCTCTGGAGAGAAAGGCGCAGGGAGCCATAACTTCAAAGCATAGATTGTTGATAATTAACTTAATAATTGTTATACTAAAACTCATTTTTTGGTGTATTTATTGTTTATCGCGAAGAGGTGGCTTTTAACATGTCTCTTAAATTCGCTTCAATAATAAGGTATAAATAAAAAAAAAAACAGAAAATACGTACTTTAATGCCGAATGCAGTTTCGTCGCTTTTGAGATGAACTCCTCCCACATTGGTGCGCTGTTCTGTAATAAAAATAAAAAACATTATAATTATATGTCAAATTATAATAAATATATAATCAATAAGCCTTGTTTAAAAATACGTTAAATTAGGTAAGGATCGCTCGGAATGTTAGATA